GCTGCTTCTCTTGCCTATACTGCGTCTCCTGCTTGACTGCAGCCGTGTCCACCACGTGTGGGTGGCCCCAGGGCAGGGAGGTGGGAAAGGGGGCGCTGGTGGTAGTGGCAGGGGTGATGGAGGTACCTGGCGCCACTAGTGCGTCTGGTGGAGGCCACACTGGACGCGGTACATGGCCTATGGGCCCGACTGTAGGGGTGGCTGGTGCGGCTGCGTGGTACACAACACAGCATTGGCAACAGTCCGAGTAGTAGCAGCCAAAGTAGGGACAGCCACAGCTGTAGGGACAATCACAACAACAGGTTTTAGCAACAAGTGCAGCAGCAGCCTTACTAGTGGGGACCTGGTGGACCACGGAGTGCTGGTCGTGGCGGTGGTCTGTCCAGCTCGGCGTTCTCGTTGTGTCACTTGGCCTCCCTGCCCGTACGTGGATCAACCGGTCACTCGTGAGGGTCAGCGATGTGGGCCGTTTTCACGCTGTGGGACAGAGCTCCGTGCTGCTTACGGAATGTGCCCGCGCCTAGTACGGCTACGGCCCGCTCCGGACTGGGTCCCGCTTTCTCACTCTCGTTTTGTGGGATATGTATGAAGTAGAGTTAGTTGATGCCATGGGATCTGCTTCTGTGATGTATGTTGATGTTGAATGTAGTGCTGCCGGATCTGTTTACTCGCGTGTTTGTAGCTTGTTGCTAGTGTAGATGCCGATGCTTCCAGTCTAGGTGCTTGTGTAGCTACTAGCCCAGGTGCACCAACAGCTGACATGTCGCTCTCCTTTAACGTTGGACTCTGGCGCGTCTCAGTGTTTCTTTCCATGACCAATCCACCCTCACACCGCTTTCAGCTCCGGTTCAGGTTGCACTGGCTGATTCTACTTCAGGACCAGCAGTTGCACGCAGCTCTACTACTCTCCCGTGCCCGACTAATCCATCTGGTGTCCTCACTGGCCTCCACATCCCCTCATTCTCCAAGAAGTTGGTGGTGTTTGGATATATCTAGGACCGCAACGTTTGGTGTTTGGTTTCCTCCGTCTGAGCGTGTTGACATCTGCATGGACAATGACACCTACGCTCCCCTGGTCGAGTTCACTGGGAGCGGGGCTCCGGTCTCTTCACACTGCACACTGACTCTCCCCAGGTAGTCGCATATGATCAGGTTGTTGCGTCTTGCTCTTGTCGATCAGTCACCCACCCAAAAGTCATGTGGCACCACCGTCTTGCTGACCCGCCCCCCCCACGCCTCCGTAGCATGTCTAGTCAGCCTCTTTTTTCCGCTCTCCTGTGCGTCCTAGAGTTGCTCTCTCGAATTGCTCCCTCCTTTGCCTGTGCCGCCATGCACTCCTTGCATCGAGGGTCAGCTGCGTGCCACTCCTCACTCCTCCTCCCTTCGTCCGGCCACCACGCCCTTCCAGACTCTCCACTTGGACGTCTGGGGCCCAGCTACTATATTGTGGTCGTTGCCAACTACTCCCGTTACACCATGGTGTTACCCCCTAGTGAAGAATTCTGGCGTGACTTCTACGCCGATCCGGTGGTTACAGGCCAATAAAGCCATTCGTGGTAGTCGTGTCGTTTGTCTCCACTCCGAGCGTAGGGGTGGGGTTTTGCTCTGGCATTCTTCACGTTGCAACGAGCAGGGCATCACACAGTTTCGACGCTTCCAGAGTCCCCACAGCAAAATGTGGTTGCTGAGCACCCTATCAGCTCGGTGATGGAGATCGCCCGCACCTCCATGATCCATGCCCATGCGCCCCATTTTTCTGTGGCCACGAGGTCCGCTACCGCCGCCCACCAGCTGAACCTCTGGCCTCGTGCCTCATGGCCACGGGCTTCACCGACCAGTCTTTGGACCGAGTCCCTTGGGTTGTTTCGTCGAAGTTTCGTGTCTGGGGCTGCCTTGCGCTTGTCCGCGACAAGCTCGGCTCGCGCCATTCCCTGTGCCTTCCTTGGTTTCCCGGTGGACGCCCCTGACTTCACGTTTCACCACCTGCCCCTCCACCGGTTTCTGGTCTCTCGTGACGTCTAGTTTGATGAGTCTGTGTCCTACTACGCCTGCTACCCCTGTCCAGGTCTCCCGGTAACCCCCCCTTCCCCACATTCGTCCTCACAGTCACCACAGTATCAGACGGTACTATCGCGACAGGTTGCCGTGGACTCTAGGGTTGTTGGTGCTGGAGGCACAGGCACTCGAGATGCTGGGTCTGAGGGTTTAGGGTTTGAGGGTGCTGGCATTGGAGGTGCTGGTTCTCAGGGTGCTGGAGCTGAGGGTACTGGCATTGGAGGTTGCTAATTCTGGGGGTGTTGGAGCTGAGGTACAGGCACTAGAGGTGCTAGTTATGGGGGTGCTGGAGCTGTTTGGTACTAGCGCTGCGGGTGCTCATTTTGGAGGTGCTAGAGTTACTCAGACTGGAACTAGAGGTGCTCATGCTGAGGGCACTGGAGCTATCGGCTCTCCTTTGGCGGCGCCTGGTCCGCCTCCCCTCAACTACCCGACGGGTTTCCAGGAGCTTCTTCAGCTCGAGTGTGAGGAGCGGGAGGGGTTGGAGCAGGGGTGGTTGGAGCTGGAGCAGCGGCAGCAGGAGTTGCAGTGGTAGGAGCTGCAGCAACAACTTCAGCAGCAGCCGCAGCAGACCCAACAGTCACCTTTGCAGCATCTGTTCCCACCTGTGAGTGGCCTTTGGGCCCTTGGTCTCCCTTCCTCCTCTAAGGAACCGCTCACCGCCTCCTACTGCTCACGGTCTTCCTCCTCCGGACCCTGCAGAGAGTCACTACACAACGGGAGTGGACTACGGAAGAGGGCATAGGGTTGTGCGAGTGATCGTAGCTTTGCACTAGCGTTCTTAGTTCTTGCTATGTTCACACAGAAGTTTGGCAAGGGTTTCCACTAAGGAATTGAAAGAACAACTTGCGATGGAAAGTTGATAGTACAATTGAGACATGCAAAACAAAAGGACTAGAAGGGCATGCAACACCTAGCAAGGGCGAAATCTGCCAGCGTAGCAAAAGAGCGGCTTGCCAACGCTGCAGCAAAGTAATCTGCCAGCGTTGCACTGCGCGTAGGTGACTATCTGCAGTTGCAGGTAACTATCTGCAGTCGCAGGTTGTCTATCTGCGCAGATGGGCGCACCTACCAAGTAGGTGCAGGTTGGCGGTTTCACCGTTAGGCACATTGCGCAGGTGCCAGGTAGAAAACGTGTCATCAGTTTCGCCAGGTGCGCACCATCGATCATGTGATGCCGTTCCGCAGGTAGAACTTCGCCAAAACCTCCTGGGCGAAAGTTCGCATGCCTCCGGAGAGTTACGCACAACTCTGCAAATTCGGTCGATCAGCTCGACATCGATCGGTCGAGCAAAGTTTGCCGAGCAGAGCTCCTTGACCCGATCTCTTCGACCAGAGTTCCTCGACCCGAAATCCTCAACCAGGATCGTCGACCAGCGCACTTCGACGGGAGCTCGTCGCGCAGAGATCGTCAACCAGAGCTCGCCGCGCAGAGCTCGTCGACCAGATTCTGTCGAGCAGAGCCTGCTCGACCGCAACTTCCATCGAACTGTAGAAGCCCGCTTCTTGACCAATCCGTCCGAGAACTTCCCGTCGACGGCAAGATCGGCTGCGCCCAAGCAAGGGCGGGGCCTTTCTCTTGGACAGACCCATCCTCGGCTGTCTTCTCTCCTCCTTGTTCACAACCCGCTCCTCCTGTTGTCCCGCACTCTCGCGCCACCCCTTGTCCCCCATGTCCCTCGTCCCGTGTTGATGAACTCCGCACTGTCTTGCTTCGTTCTCGTTGTTCTCAGCCTGAGTCTGTTACCTCCTAAGGTGTCTCTTACAACCTCTTCTCACCCTATCACTGACTACCACCACGCCGCTCGTCCTGTAGTCTCACGCGTTCTCGCGTCTCTTGTGGCAGACCCTACTGCCTCTTCGTCGTCTTGTCTCGGCTCTTGTTGCCGCTGTTGGTGACTTTGCTGCCACTTGCTGCCTTGACTACACCACCCCGCGTTGTGGCTGCCCGTCCTCTGGCCACCAGGGGTGATTCTACCCTTGGCTGTGACGTCCTAGAGGATAGGTAGTTTGAGCTTAAGTTCTTGGCAGCCGCTTCTGTGAAATAATGAGGAATGAATGAACTAGGAAAGTCTATGATACAAATATGAAACCCTAGAAACTTGTACCCCTTAGTGTCTACCCCACTAGAGCCTACAAACACTATGTCATACATATCTGACACACCCCCATAGGCAAAGTGGGGGAGAACTAGGGGTCACAAGACCAGTCAAGCAAAGCAAGCTCAAGGTGGATTATAACGTCACCACACATTCCGAGCACCAGTTCAAGGCCACAAGGCCAGTTCACATGCAGGGTTATATATATAAAGGTAAACAAGCAAGTGCAGGTATAGATAGATCACAGTACAAGCAAGGTCAAGAAGTGAGCAAGTGAGGCCAAGTAGGCACAAGACCTAGCATCGTACGAAAGCGCTGATAATCACAAGGCTGAAGTGCCTTGGTACAGATATCAGCAGTGTTGGCCCGAGAGGACACGTAAGCAAGGCGCACCTGACCACGCTACTGCAGCTCACGAGCAAGGAAGTAGCGAAGAGCAATGTGCTTCATTCTGTGCTCCCGACACAAGGCCAGCATGGCCTTGTTGTCTACGTACAGAACTAGAGGAGAACAAGGCGGCTCTCCTCGGTCGGTCAGCAGGTAGGTGAGCCAACGTAACTCCTGTGCAGCCATGGCCCTTGCGTAGATCTCAGCCTCACAGCTGGAGCCGATAACAGAAGACGAGCGAGTAGACCGCCACCAAACAGAGCCGGAACCAAGGCTGAGAGTATAACCCTGTGACGACCGCTGCGTAGCCTGGTCATCCGCCCAAGAGGCGTCTCCGTGACCAGTCAGGACCACTGGACTCCGCCCAACAAGCACGAGCCCCATGCCCAACGTACTGCACAAGTAGCGCAACACCCTCTTCGCTGCAGCCAAGATGCTAAGAGGGTATGCAAGGTCAGGTCAAGTGCAGGTCATCAGGTACATGAGGTAGCCAACAAGCTCTGGGTACAGGCCACTCGGCTCTACGGACTCATCCGAAGGCAGAGCTGAGAGCGAGTGGCGAGTAGACAGAGGACTGGCCTGAGGCGAGGAGTACGTGAAGTCGAAGCGCTGAAGGACCTGCTGCACCATGTGTGACTGAGTCAAGGTAATGGTACGGCGTGCTCTATCCCGGGTGATCTGCAAGCCAAGGTAGCTGCGCAGTTCACCCAGGTCTGTGCACGTGTGTCTCTTCTGCAGCTCGGACTTCACGTGGGCGAGAGCCTCAGTGTCAGCAGTGGCAAAGACCAGGTCGTCGACGTACACGAGGATGTAGAACGGTGGCAAAGAGGTGTTGGTGCACAGAAACAGCGACGGGTCGGCAGTAGAAGGAGCAAACCCAAGAGCCGCAAGTGTAGTCCTCAGTGTGTCGTGCCACTCACGGGGCGCCTGGCGGAGAGCGTAGACTGGCCGCCGGAGGCTCCACTGGGTACCAGGAGGAAACGACCCAGTGAAGCCAGGTGGGCGGCGCAGCCAGATCTCGTCGTGCAGGCTGCCTTGTAGGAAAGTAGTGCTGAAGTCAAGAGAGTGAAGCTCGTAGTCACGCTGAGCGGCTATGTGCAGCAGCACCCAAAGAGTGGTCATCTTCGGGGTGGGAGAGAAGGTCTGAAAGTAGTCAACTCCCTGCCGCTGACTGAAGCCTCGAGCCACGTAACGCACCTTGAAGACAGGCGTAGAACCTGGCGGCCGCTTCACCCTGAAAATCCACATGCCACAGACGATGTTCGCCCCTGGTGGGGGAGCCTCATCGACATAGGTGCCTGTGGACTTCCAGGAAGCCATCTCTGCGTCCATGGCTGACTGCCACGGTGAGGAGTAGGGACCCTCGATCGCCTCAGCGTACGATCGAGGAGTCGGGATGTCTGGTGCATCCGGGTCTCCCTCAGGGGCAATCAGCACGGACACGAGATGAGGCAAAGCAGCAGCAAAACACTGGAACTCCTCCTTGCCTGTCCTCAAGGACGTCCGTGCTAAGAGCACACTCACCCCCGACGGATGGAGGACAGACAGACTCAGACTCAGCAACAAGACTAGAAGCGTAGTCGAGACAACAGTGAGCAGCGAAGTCGACAAGCTCAGCAACTAGGGCAGACGCAGCAGTGGACTCAAAGGAAGGGTTAGTGACAACAGTAGCCAGAAGACGCGCGACAGTTGGACTGCCAGCAGGAAGAGAGTCAGACTCCAGGTCAGCAAGAGCAGGAAGAGAGGACTCCGGAGGAGACGGCAAAGGGACACGCAGCGGTGCAGTGGAAGGACGCAGTGCCATTTGGTGCGTGCCTGGGACCGCAGGAGGACGCTGACGCGGAACACGACGACTAGTGCAAGCAACACGAACAGGCGACGCAGGACGAGACGCAGGCCCACGACGCTCAGCAAGACCTCCAGTAGGACCAGTGTAGGGAGAAGGAGCAGGCAGTTGGGAGGCGGGCTGTAACAGTGACTCGGACTGGACAAGCGGTGGACACTCTAAGGAAGGAGCAGGACCAGAAGAAGGCGGGAGACCAAGAACGTGCTCAAGGAGCGGAACAAAGTACGGCCGCGGCCGCGCAGCGCCTCCAGAACCAGGAGGTACAGCACCAGCACCCCCAGCGGCAGCACCAGCACCAGTAGCACCCCCAGCTCCAGCAGCGCCAACACCAGCACCCTCACAAGCACCAGCACCAGCAGCACCTCCAGCGCCAACACCCCTAGCAGCTCCAGCGCCAGATTAACCACCGGAAGAATCAACAGCTCCAGCTCCTGCAGCTTTAGCAGCACCTACCCCAGCAGCACCGCCAGCTCCAGCACCGCCAGCAGCTCCAGCACAAGGAGCCACCCCAGGCCCAGCAGCTCCATTACCTCTAGTACTAGCTCCTCCGGGACCCATGGTATCAGCACCCTCAGCAGCAGTAGAACCTCCAGCCCCAGCGGCACCTCCAGCTCCAGCGGCACGGCTCCAGCACCGAGCAAACCACTCGCGCAGCTCCTGTGGAGAGGGTAGCTCCCGCCGGGACGAACCACCCACAGGACCTCCAGACCCCGCACCGCCAGACTCCACACGAGCAGGCCCAGCACTGTCAGGCTCCGCACCCCCAGTCGCAGCACCCCTAGACTCAACACCCCCAGACTCAGCACCCCTAGGCTCAGCACACCCAGACTCCACACCCGTAGGCCTAGCACCCCCAGCAGCACCAGAGTCAACAGCTACCTCGACAGGCTCGACTGCATCTACCTGGGACACACCTGAGGGGGCAGGACCCTGAGGAGGGAGGGGGTCTAGCGGGGGAGGACCTGGCGCGAGGAAGAGCGGCAGCGGCGGGAGGGGGGCAGTGCGGTAGGGGAAGAGACGGTAGTAAGGAACCGACTCGTCAAACGTGACGTCCTGGGAGGACAGAACACGGCGCGAGGTGGGGTGGTAAAACTGCCAACCAGGCGCGTCAGGGGGGAAGCCAAGGAAGACGTAGGGAACAGCGCGAGGGGACAGCTTGTCCGTAGACAAGTCGCGGACAAAATCTCGAGATCCCCAGACACGGAACGCAGACGCATCGCCAACCTTCCCCGTCCACCGCAGAGTAGGGGAGGTCTCCGGCAAGGAGACTCGGGGCTGAAGGTTGATCTGATGCGCCGCGTACTGAACCGCGAACGGCCACAGAATTATGGGGAGCAGCCGCATGGATCATGGACGTACGAGCGACTTCCATTACCATGCCAATGCGTTGCTTAGCAATCCCATTTTGCTGTGGAGAGGCCGGAAGCGTGAACGTCTGGCGGATGCCCCGTGCACGATAGAAGGCTCGCAGAAGGTCAGAGGAAAACTCTCCGCCTTTGTCGGAGTGCAGACGCAAAACAGGAAAGTCCGAGCCGAAACTCTCTCCGAGCTGAAGACGAGCTGCGCGGATCCAGTCGATCAACACCTCAGTGACCTCACCCTTGCTGCGCAAGGGGAAGACTGTGGTGTAACGCGAGTAGTCGTCAACTACCAGCAGGAAGTAACGCTCGTGACCCTGTCCACGGACGCGGGCGGGGCCCCACACGTTTAGGTGAAGTGTCTGCAGTGGAGCCTCTGTCGGAGGAAACTCGGAGGAGTGAGGAGCGGCGCGCTGCCGCCCCTGGACGCAGGGAACGAAGGTAGGGGCAGGCCCCGAAGGAAGAGGAGGGAGGGACCGGGGGAGACCAGAGACAAGGACACGGGAGGCCATGCCTCGGAGACAAGGCAGGGAGGGGCGACCAAGGCGGTGGTGCCAGAGGAGAGTCTGGTGAGACAGGAGACGACACGAGCAGGGGGCAAACTCAGGACCAGACGTGGATGCTGCAGCAAACACCTGACCCGACGCAGCCACCTGACCGGACTCAGCAGCCGGAGGAGACTCATTAGTCAGTGTGTACAGGCTCGACCCCCGCTGACGGGTAAACGTGGCCAAGTGTCGGCCCCTCCGAGCACACGTATAGTGGGTCACTCGCTGACTCGCAGGAGTGAACTGGTGAACCCCCGCATCCTGTAGGTCAGCACCACTCACCAAGTTTGGAGGGGAGGTAAAGACCTTACAGGGTGCCAGAAGGGGCCGCCGGACACGGTAAGACAGTGGAGAAGTGGGCAAGGACAGGACCCCCAGAGGGGTCTGCCAGCGAGACTGCAACCGGTCGACTAAGTGGCGTGAGTGTGGTGCGGTCTCGAAAGAAGGAGCGGGAAGCACCTGAGTCAAGGGTGAAAGTGTGCAAAGCCTGAGCCGACGTGGTACCTGAGAGAGCAGACACACCAGCACCTGGGGCAGCAGACTCACCAGCATCTGGAGCAGCAAACGCACTAGCACCTAGAGCAGCAGCCTCACCAGCACCTAGAGCAGCAGCCTCAATGCCCGGGTCAGGCGGAACACACACGTAACAGTCACCCTCATCACTTGTAGACACAACATACATGGCACCAAGAAGAGCATCATAATCAAGATCAAAGATAGCAACCCCCGACCTAAGCAGCTTGCCTCAGCGAGGGATCTTAGTGGCGTCAGGGAACTGGAGACGCCAGGCGTCTGTCAGGCGGCCGAAGCAGCGCTGGGTGGTGTGCGGGCCACCGCACGGCTCACCAGTGCGGTCGCCGGTACCCAGGACGTAGGCATAGGGACCAGCACTCCCACCCCGCTGACGCGCAGCGTACCACTCACAAAGCTGCTAGGGGGGCGGGGTCTCACGAGTGCGCTACTGCTGCTGGCGCTGACCACCACCAAAGCCGCCCCGCTGCACAGAGCCACCCCGACCAGCTCGACTGCCGCCGCCGCTGTCGCCTCCACCGCCGCCGCCTCTGCTCCCACCGCCGCCGCCTCTGCTCCCACCGCCAACGCCGCCGCCGCCTCCGCCTCCACTGCCGCCACTTAAGCCCCCACCCCCGCCACGACTCCCACCGCCACCCCCACCCCCTCCGCCGCCTCCACCGCCACCTCCACCGCCCCCGCCAGCTCCTCCGGCGCCCTTGCCCCCCTTGCCCTTGCCGTTGCGGAGTCTACCGCTAGGGGCAGACGCAGCGCCGACCGACTCGGTGCCAACGAGGTCGACTGCAGCAGCAGAGGCAACAGAGGGCAAAAGGGGGGAGGGGGAGCACCCCTCAAAGAAGGGGGCATGGCTTCTTGTCTTCTCAGCTGTTAGGAGGCGCTCCTCGAGGAGGTCAACGGTGAGCGTGGTGGGGCAAACAGAGAGGAAGTGGTCCCTGACCGGACGAAGGGAGTCAGGGAGCCGGGTGACTAGGTAGTAGAGGGTGATGTACATGGGGGGGGGGGGGTTCTTGGCGCAGAATTCAGCAGGACGCGCAGCGCGGTAGTGGGTGTCACTAGTGCGGAGGTGCGTAATGAGGTTAGCGACTCTGGGGAAGGGGGCGAGGTCAGGGAACAGGTACGGCAGCATGAGGCGACTAAGAACAGCAGTGGCAGGGGACGAGTAGCGTACAACTACAGCGTCGTACAAGGTCTTAGCACTCTTGTACTGACTAAAGTGCGCGCGCTCTGTGGACGGCAAGTGACTACGCACAGCAAGACGTGCAGCAGCATCGCGTGTGGCCCACTGGGAGCGAACAGTACTGTCAGCATCGGCAGCAGGGGCAGCAGAGGCGCCAGACGTGAGATCGAACAGTGAGAGACCATCTTTTCTATCGCACCGCAGGAAAAGCTGCAGATCATCAACCCAGATCTTAAAGTCGACAGCCCGACCCTCAGCATCAAAGGTGAGAACACTAGGGGTGGCCATGACAGCAGCAGCAACAGCAGCAAGCTAGCAGTGGCAGCAGCAGGCTAGGAGCAGCTCAGCAGGAGAGGCGCGGCTCGGCGGTGCTCTTACCAGGGCCGGGTGGGTAGAGGGCCGCAAGCGGTGGGGCAGGGCCGAGGCGCTCCGGCAGGGACAGGGCCGCGACTGGGCAGCAGAGGAGTGCTGCGCCTCGGCTACAGGGCAGGGCAGGGCCGGGACGGGAGGGGCGGCTATCACGGCAGCGGCAGCGGCGGTTGTCCCAGTAGGAGCGGCGGCGGCTGCCACGGCAGCAGCGGTGGCGGCGACCGGTCGTAGAAGAAGCAGCAGCGGCAGCAGGCACGACGGCAGCTGTTGCTGGGGCGGCGACTGTGGGGCGGCAGTGTTAGAGACTAAAGACGGAGTCTATGAAGATTAGGTGCCCAAATTTCTCAAAATCGTTGGTCTCAATTTCTGGATAGAAACGTCGACTTCACAAGAAACGTTGTCGACGACAGGTGCACTATTAGAATCCCACGAAATTCGAATATGTTGTAGCCCTAGACCGTGGCTACATTTCCCAATTTGAATCGTATCAAGATATGACGCATATCTCGAGTTATGATTTTCGGCGCACTAGGGGGTATGCTGCCACAGAAATTTAACTCAATCACAATTAACTCACAAGTCCCACAAAAGAACATTAGAGTAGCACTAAACCTAGTAGGAGGGGAAGAGGAGGACGAGAGAGAAGGTTCCAAGAGAGAGTCCCCAACCAAGGAAACCCCATGCCACACAATTCCCTTCCCCATAGGCAACAAACTTTGACCTTTGTCACTTTCCAACCCATGCCATCCACCTCACCTCAACTTGGCCACACTTACCAACCTGGTTTGGCTTCACCCAACCTCTTGGCAGCATCTACAGTGATGGGTTCGAATTTCCCATCCCCCACAAGTCTGTACCCCATATTGAGTCAATGCCACAACTTCCCAAAGTAGCTGCAACCAAAATATATAGGCATACGAACTCCAATGTTCGTAACTTTCTTGGTTGTGCTCCGATTCTTGGTTCGTCGGAAAGCTCTTGAGTCGAGGAATCACTTCAGATATCTGCTCAAGCCAACTAGCATACACACACACACATACACACACACACATACACACACACACACACACACACACACACACATACACACACACACACACACACACACACACACACACACACACACACACACACACACACACACACACACACACACACACACACACACACACACACACACACACACACACACACACACACACACACACACACACACACACACACACACACACACACACACACACATAGAAAATCCAAACCACACAAGACACAAATTTCTTGCACACGCTCACACCACGCATGCAACGCACAAACACATGATGGGAGGCAGACAGACGTGAATGCATATGGTTGCATCACACAACAAACTCCCCCTCTGGCTGCCAACCATCATCCCACATGCCATAACTCAAGCATGCACCCTCAATGCACACTCATTCCCGCAAGCTTCATGCCCTTCCAATGCTCAGGTTCTGCCAGGCGCTTGGTGAGAATGTCAGCCGCCTGCTGCTGGGTCTTCACAATCTCCAGCCGCACCTCCTTGTCCAGGAGCCTCCTTGTGCAATGCCACTTTGGCCTGATGTGCTTTGTCAAGCCATGAAGACAGGCATTCTTCGCAAGCTTCACCGCCAACTCATTGTCACAGAAAATCACAGTCGGCTCCCTCTGATACACTCCGATTTCCTCCAACAAACGCCTCAGCCACACCACCTCGTTTGCCCCATGATGCAGGGCCATGTACTCTGTCTCACACGAGGACAACCCCACCTCGTTCTGCTTCTTGCTGCGCCAGCTCACTGCACCACCTCCAAAGAGGCACACATAGCCTCCAATGCTGGTGCCATCCGTCTTCACTGAGTTGAAGCTAGCGTCGGTGTAGCAAGTCAAGCGCATCTCCCCCTTGCTCAAATCAGCTGCACCCCTCTGTAGCCTCTGTCGCACAGCACTGTACTCCAAGCCCACTGATGCTGTAGCGCTCACATAGCGGACCAACCTCTTGGCCGCTTCCAGCTGCTCATGACTTGGGCATGAAACCACACTCGCAAGCCTGGATGTAGCAAAGGCAATGTCAGGCCGCGTGTGGTTAGCCGCATAGTTGAGTGCCCCCACCATGGAGTGAAACAACTTCCTGTCACTCTCCCCCACCACCTCCTCATCAGCACAGGGCTCCACAGTGAACCCCGAAGGCAGCGGGGTGGCTGGCTTTCCTGCATCTTGCAGCCCATACTTCTCAGCCAGCCCCTCACAATACTTCCTCTGGTGCAACCTCAACACTCCCTTGTCAAGGTCCCTCTCCACGTGCATCCCAAGGTAGTACTTCACATCTCCCATCTTGGAGCACTTGAACTGCATTTCCAGCATCTCCTCCACACGTTCAATCATCGTAGACGACTCAGAGAAGAGCAGGATGTCGTCCACGTACACCAGGAGCATGAGGAACTGCTCCTTCTCTTGCAGCAGGAACACGCTGTGATCACACTCGCTTTTCTTGAACCCCTCGGCCAGCAGTGTCTCCTCCAGCTTGTGGTACCATGCGCGAGGAGCCTGCTTCAGGCCATAGATGGCCTTCTTGAGCCTGCACACCCTGCCGCTCCCATCATCCAACCCCTCAGGCTGCAGCATGTACAGCTCCTCCAGAATGATTCCATTGAGGAAGGCAGTGATTATGTCCATCTGCTTGATCTTCCAGCCACGGTTTGCAGCCATTGCCAACATCGTCCTCAGTGTAGTGCCTTTCCCCACAGGAGCAAAGATATCATCAAAATCCTTCCCCTTTGTCTGTTGGAACCCCTTAGCCACAAGCCTTGACTTGTAGCGGACCAGCTCCCCATCAGGTCCGTACTTGTGCCTGAAAATCAGCTTGGAAGAAATGGCCTTCATCCCTGGAGGCAGCTCACACAGCTCCCACGTCTCGTTCTCCAGCAGAGAGTCATACTCCTCCTTCACACTCTGCTTCCACTTCTCAGCATCGGGCCCACTCAAGGCCTCGGTAAGTGTCTTGGGCTCAGGGACGGCTGCCCAGTAACAGTGCGCTATCTCCTCCTCATCACACTGCTCAGCCACACTCCCAGCCCTTACCACACTTGGCTTCCCAAAGCTCGGATAGGTCAGCCGGTTAGGAGGGCGCACATCCCTCCTTGGACGGTCAGCCGGACGTACGGCACCTTGTGGAGCATCTTGCTGCTGCTGCTGCTCCTCCACCTCAGGTTCTCCCCCATCCTTAGTCACCCCAGAAATCTCCTCCTCTGAAACAGTGACCTGCACTTGCCTCCAAGGCCGCTGCACCTCATCAGCCTCAATGATCAGTGGTGTAGTGGGAAACTTCTGCTGCTGCTGCTTCCACTCCTTGTAGTACAAGGACTCAAGGAACTTCACATCCCTCGACACAGTCAGCTGCTGGCTGGTCAAGTCCCAAATCAGCCAGCCCTTGTGATCCTTAGCAAGCTCCAAGTGCACACCCCATCTCCCAGAAGCTTCCAGTTTTCCCCTCTTCTCCTTAGGCACATGAAACACCACCATGCAGCCGTAGGCTCTCAGCATGTTGACTGCTGGTGCACTCCCATACCACTTGGTGTAGGGGACCCATTGCTTGTCTCCCACTGTCGCCAGCACCCGGTTCTTCACAACAGCGACCTGTCGCAGTGCTGTCACCCAAAACGGATCCGGCAGCCCTGCACGCCCAAGGAGAGTGCGAGCACCTTCCTGCAGGGTCCGGTTGAACCGCTCAGCCATGCCGTTCTGCTGAGGGTTGTAGGGCACCGTGAGCTGATGCTGGATCCCCTTCTTCTTCAGCACCGCCTCAAAATCAGCGCCAATAAACTCTCCCCCATTGTCGGTGCGGATCACCTTGACCTTGTGTCCGCTCTCCCTTTATGCTCTCGGCATCCACTCCTTAAGAACAGCCGCTGCCACCTCCCCTTTAGTCTTGAGAGGGTAGACCCACACCGCACGTGTGTGGTCGTCCACAATGGTCAAGAAGTAGCGGCTGCCCGAGAGAGAAAGGGCCCTTGTGGGGCCCACCACATCCATGTGCACAAGCGCGAGTGGAACCTTGGCTGGTCCCGTGCTGCTGCTGAAAGGGAACTTGGTGAACTTTGTCTCAAGGCATGTAGGGCAGCTCCCAATCTCCTTCGCTGCCCCCTTCACCTCCAATCCCTTCAAGCTCCCATCCTTCACCAACTTCTGCAGCATAGGAATCTTGATGTGGCACAGCCTCTCATGCCACGTCTCCCAATCGGCCTCACCACTCCCAGACGAAGCCTTTGTCCATGCAGCCGTTGCATCCACACCAGCAAGCACCTCACCATGTGATTGCTGTGGCTGCTGCACCTTCTTGACTGCATCCAGGGCCCCAGCAGTTGGTTTAGTCTCCTCTCCTCCCGCAGTTGCCTTAGCCGCTGCCGCTGCCTTTGCCGTTGCTGGAGGTTTCCCATTCCAAGGGATGATGGGCAGCTGCCACAGGTCCTTGATGCAGCTGCTCTTCTCCTCCAAATCCCACAGCAGCAACTTCCCAAGCTTTGCACGGCAGCTGGTTGGGCCGAACGTGACTTTGGCCTTGCTTTTCTGCAGCCGGCGCACAGAGAGGAGGTTAGCGGATAAACCTTCAACCAATAGCACATTTCCCAGCCCCACAAGCCCCCCATTAGCTCCCATAACCTTGGCATTCCCAACACCAATTACAGGGAGCAAGGCACCTGAAGCGGCAGCCACAAACTTTATCTTCCCAGGGGGCTTCACCTCATCAAGCAAATCTGCCCGTGGAGTCATGTGACTCGTGCAACCTGAATCGATCACCCAATGAGTGAGGGGGTGCATCACAACCTTCCCAACTGAACCCACATCACCCCCACTCCCTTGCGCATCCTCAACCATGAGGAACATCCCAGGGTCGGCTTTACCTTGTGCACCATCACCTTGTGCACCTGAACCTTGCACAGCACCACCTCGTGCACGTTCACCACTTGGCAGCTTCATGCCTGGATGTGCCCATCCTTCAGGCCGGCTGAAACACTTGAACCACGGGTGTCCAGCCTTCTTGCAGTACCAGCACGCACCCTCCATTCGGGTGCTCCCCTTGCCACCAGAGCTCTCATGCCCCTCGTTGTAGTCATCTCAGCCTCTTCCTCTGCCAAAGCCTCTCCTACGGCCTCGGCCTCTCCCTCCCCCTCTCCCCCTGCTACCTCCTGCAGCTCCATACCCCTCAGCAGTTTTGTTGGCAGCACCACCTCCCGTGTGGCGCCTGCGGAAGTCCTCCTGCAGGATCTGCTGCCGTAGCCACTTAGGCGTCCACTTGTCCTGCTGAGCGTTGAGGGTGGGGATAAGGTTGTCCCACGAGTTGTCGAGCACCGAGATGATTTTGGTGCACTGCTGCATTTCTGACACCTTGCTGCCCGCCGCTGCCATCCTCGCATAGGTGTCCTTGATATTGTCAAGGGCCGGCTTCACATCATCTCCCGGCCGCATGGAGAGGGCAGCCAGCTCCTTCTCCAATACGATCACCATCGGCAGCGTGTTGGGTTGAACCACGTCGCGTAGCAGCTTCCACGCCTTCGGTCCCGAGTCATCGAGCTCCACCACATCCTTGATGTGCTGGAACATGTCGTTGTTGACCGACTGTAGAATCAAGTCGTACAGCACCGCACTCCGCTCAATCCACCGATCGCGGGCATCTCCTTCCTCGGGCATCTTCTCCTCTCCCATAGCCAATTTCAGCAGCTTGTAGCGCTTGAAGGCGCTCCTCATCCGCCCACTCCATTCTTCATAGTTGGAGCCATCCAATGCCTCAATCTTGGATGGTGGCGGCTCACTCTTCTTCTCAGCTCCTTCTCCACTCCCTTGACTCATCTCCTCTGCTCCCAATCAGAGGTTTCAGCTCCCCCCCTTTGCTGGTCACAATGTAGATCCACACAATCTTCACAAGTGTCGGCGCCAACGAAATTTCGGCAGAGTTTCCCCTTAGCGGAAGTCACGTGCAACCTCTAGAACTCCACTTAGGCACGCCCACAGGCCATGGTGGGTCTAGGAGGGTCTTCACACTTCAGTAGACTCTCCACAAAGTCCTTAATGAGCTCTGATACCACTTGTTAGAGACTAAGGACGGAGTCTATGAAGATTAGGTGCCCAAATTTCTCAAAATCGTTGGTCTCAATTTCTGGACAGAAACGTCAACTTCACATGAAACGTTGTCGACGACAGGTGCACTATTAGAATCCCACGAAATTCGAATATGTTGTAGCCCTAGACCGTGGCTACATTTCCCAATTTGAATCGTATCAAATTATGAAGCATATCTCGAGTTATGATTTTCGGCGCACTAGGGGGTATGCTGCCACAGAAATTTAACTCGATCACAATTAACTCACAAGTCCCACAAAAGAACATTCGAGTAGCACTAAACCTGGTAGGAGGGGAAGAGGAGGACGAGAGGGAAGGTCCCAAGAGAGAGTCCCCAACCAAGGAAACCCCATGCCACACAATTCCCTTCCCCATAGGCAACAAACTTTGACCTTTGTCACTTTCCAACCCATGCCATCCACCTCACCACAACTTGGCCACACTTACCAACCTGGTTTGGCTTCACCCAACCTCTTGGCAGCATCTACAGTGATGGGTTCGAATTTCCCAACCCCCACAAGTCTGTACCCCATATTGAGTCAATGCCACAACTTCCCAAAGTAGCTGCAACCAAAATATATAAGCATACGAACTCCAATGTTCGTAACTTTCTTGGTTGTGCTCCGATCGCGACGATTCATGGTTCGTCGGAAAGCTCTTGAGTAGAGGAATCACTTCAGATATCTGCTCAAGCCAAATAGCAAACACACACACACATACACACAGAAAATCCAAACCACACAAGACACAAATTTCTTGCACACGCTCACACCACGCATGCAACGCACAAACACATGATGGGAGGCAGACAGACGTGAATGCATATGGTTGCATCACACAACAGGGCCGCAGGTAGGCGACGGGGCCGTAGGGCCGCAGGTAGGCGACGGGGCCGGGGCCGCAGGAAGGCGACGGGGCCGGGGCCGCAGGAAGGCGACGGGGCCGGGGCCGCAGGTAGGCGACGGGGCCGTAGGGCCGCAGGTAGGCGACGGGGCCGTAGGGCCGCAGGTAGGCGACGGGGCCGTAGGGCCGCAGGTAGGTGACGCGGCCGCTGAAAGGGCGGCGACGGGGCCGCGGAAGGGCGGCGACGGGGCCGCGAAGTGGCCGCGAGGGGCCTGAAAGGGCGGCAACGGGGCCGCTAAGAGAAAGTTAAGGGGCACGCCACGGGGCGTGCCGAACACAGAGTAGCAGCGGAAGCAGTAGGGTGGGTCCACAGGCCAGGACCGTAATCACTCTGATAGCATGTCAAAATCTAGCAAGTCAAGTTGGGCTTAGGAGCCATGGCTAGTGAGTTCGAGGGTGTTGAGGAAAGTATCGAGAGAGTTGAGAAGGAGAATGAGGTTCAATAATAGCAAAGAGATACAACATATAGTCAAGAAACTAGAGGTGCACCACCAAACAGAAGACAAGATAAATACACTACACCTAAACCACAAGCAGTTACATAAAATAACTTTGACATCCATCAGTCTCAGCAGTAGCAAAAACCAAGTCGTCAACGTACAGGAGGACGTAGAATGGCGGCAAAGAGGTGACGGTGCGTAGAAACAGCTACGGGTCACCAATAGAAGGAGAAAACCCAAGAGCCGCAAGAGTCGTCCTCAGTGTGTCGTGCCACTCTCGAGGCGCCTGGCAACGACCGTAGACTGGCCGCCAGAGGCTCCACTGGGTACCAGCAGGAAACGACCCCGTGAAGCCAGGTGGGCGGCGCAGCCAGATCTCCTCCTGCATGCTGCTCTGTAGGATGGCTGTATTGAAGTCAAGAGAGTGAAGCTCGTAGTCACGCTGAGCAGCAATGTGCAGTAGTACCCGAAGAGTGGTCATCTTAGGGGAAGGGGAGAAGGTCTGGAAGAAGTCAACTCCCTCTCGCTGACTGAAGCCTCGTGCAACACAACGCGCCTTGAAGACAGGCGGAGAACACGGCGGTCACTTCACCCTGAAAATCCACATGCCACTGACGATGTTCGCCCCTAGTGGGGGAACCTCGTCGACGTAGGTGCATATGGACTTCCAGGAAGCCATCTCTGCGTCCATGGCTGTCTGCCAATGAGAGTAATAGGGACCCTCTATCGCCTCTACGTAACGCGGGGTTGGGATGTCTGGTGCATTCGGGTCTCCCTCAGGGACAAGCAGCATGGACACAAGATGAGGTAAAGCAAGGGCAAAGCACACAAACTCCTCCTGTCTATCCTCAAGGACGTCCGTGCCCAGAGCACACTCACCCCCGACGGAAGGAGGACAGACAGACTCAGACTCAGCAACAAGACTAGCGGCGTAGTCTGGACGACAGGCGGCAGCAAAGTCAACAAGCTAAGCAACTAGGGCAGACGCAGCAATGGACTCAAACGAAGGGTCACTGACAAAAGTAGTGAGAAGACGCGTGCCTTTAGGACTGGCAGCACGAGCAAGGTCTGACGGTGGGTCAGGGAAGTCAGGAAGAGAGGACGCAGGAGGAGACGGCTGAGGGACACGCTGTGGAGCAATGGAAGGACGAAGTGCCATCTAGTGTGTGCCTGGGACAGCAGGAGGACGCTGACGCGTTACACGACGTCTAGTGCAGACAACGCAAACGTGCGACGCAGGACGAGACTCAGGCGACGAAGGACGAGACTGAGGCTCACAACGCTCCGTAAGACCACTAGTCGGCCCAGAGTAAGGAGAAGGACCAGGCAGTGGAGAGGCTAGCTGTAGCTGCGACTGCGACGGGGCAGGCTGCGGACATAGTAAGGGAAGAGTGGGACTAGTAGAAGGGGGGAGGCCAAGAACCTGCTGAAAAAGTGGAAAGAAGAACGGCCGCAGCCACGCAGCGCCTCCAAAACCAGTAGAGACAGCACCAGTACTCCCAGCTCCAGGGTCTCCAGCTCCAACTCCCGAAGAACCACCAGCTCCAGCTCCAGCAGCACCTCCAGCAGCTCCAGCTCCTGCAGCACCTCCAGCATCAACAGCTCCAGCGCCGCCAACTCAAACTTCCGCAGCACCACCACCTCCAGCACCTCCAGCAGCTCCAGCTCCAGCTGCACCTCTAGCAGCAACAGCTCGAGTGCCACTAGCTCCAACTCCTGTAGCACCACCAGCTGCAGTAGCTCCAGTACCTCCACTACGAGCACCTACGGCAGCTCCAGCACCAGCAGGACCTCCAGCATCTCCACCTCCATCAGCACCTCCAGCTCCAACAGCTCCAGTAGCACCAGCTCCATGGGCTCCAGTGGCAGCCCCCTCAGCTCTATCAGCTCCTCGCTTGAATCTCCATCGGCGAGAAAACCACTCGCGCAGCTGCGGTGGAGAGAGAGGCTCCCGCCGAGACGAGGCACCTGCAGGAACTCCACCAGACTCAGCACCCCCTGTCTCAGCAACCGCAAGCTCAGCACCCTCAGGCTCAGCACCCCCAGGCTCAGCACCCCCAGGCTCAGCACCCTCAGACTCAGCACCCCCAGGCTCCGAACCCTCAGACTCAGCAACCCCAAGCTCAACAACCCCAGAGTCCACACGCTCAGGCCCAGCACCCCCAGGCTACGCACGCTCAAGCTCAGCACCCCGAGGCTCTGCACGTTCAGGCTCAGCACCCCCAAGCTCCGCACGCTCAGGCTCAGCACCTCCAGCAGCACCACCCCCAGGAGCAGCACCAGATTCAACCGCTACCTCGACAAGCTCCACAGCGTCTACCTGAGACACACCAGAGGGAGCAGGACCCTGAGGGGGGAGGGGGTCTACCGGAGGAGGACCTGGTGCAAGGAAGAGCGGCGGGGGGGGGGAGAGAGGCAGTGCGGTAGGGGAAGAGACGGTAAAAGGGAACCGACTCGTCGAACTTGACGTCCTGAGAGGGCAGGACACGGCGCAAGGTGGGGTGGTAAAACTGCCAGCCAGGCGCGTCAGGGACAAAGCCAAGGAAGACGCAGGGAATCGCGCGGGCGGAGAGCTTGTCCGCGGTAGTATTGCGGACAAAGGCTCGACATCCCCAGACCCGGAACACCGACACATCGCTAACCTTCCCCGTTGTGAGGATCTGGTTCAGCAAAGATAATTCTATTGAATGATCCACCAGGGTACAAGGCGAGGCTATATATAGGCTCGACACAAAGGCAGTAACCCTGGTATTACTAGAAGGTTCCGCGGGTCGCGAAGCGTCCCGAATGGGTCCTTCCCGAATTCGGTAGAAGGCAATTCGGTGGCAACCTAAAAGCCTAGAATTCGGTGCACTCAACCTAGTTCGGTGCCTATAACTATAATAAGATAGTAAAAGCAACGAGCCTAGGAAATCTAGCAAAAGCAAGCTAGATAATGCATAATAAAGCTAAGCTAGATAATGCATAATAAAGCAAAATCAAGCTAGGAAATCATAGCAAAGCCGTCGTACTCTCACACGTCCCCCCCTCAAAGCTGGGTGGCGTGAGATACACCCTGCTTGACAAGATAGTCCTTGAGAGCACAGCGTGCGTTGCCCATATCAACTTCTGCAACCCAACTGTCCTGTGAGGGGTCATATCCCTTCCAGCGCATTAGGAACTCGAGCGTGTTGCCACGTCTGCATCGATGAGCGAGCACTCGTTCCACCTCGTACTCTGGTTCATCCTGTACGAGAACAGGTGGTGGTGGCGGTAGCTGGCGTCCTGTGAACTGCTGGTTGGAGTCCTTGTAGGGCTTTAGTAGTTGAACATGGAAAGCGTTGTGAAGCTTCCACATAGTAGGTAAGCGCAAGCGGAATATTACTGGTGTCACCGTCGCCTCAACGTGAAAGGGACCACAGAAGCGAGGCCGGAGCTTCGATGGAAGGTGAGACAAGTCCAAGTTTTGCGTGTCGAGAAGCACCTGATCTCCGACTGCTACTGAGTGATCTCTTCACTGTTGATCGGCATACTGCTTCTGGGAGTTCTGCATCATGGTGAGACGTCGCTGAGTCTTCTCCCATGGCTGATGCATGGTGGTGACGAAGTCGTGTGCAGCTTGGACGTGTGCCGGTGTAGTTGGCTGCTATGGTGTAAGTGGTTCCCGTCCGTAGCTCAGGAAGAAAGGAGATTTTCCTGTGGCCGCATGCGACGCGTTGTTGTAAGCGAACTCAAGCGTTGGTAACTGTTGATCCCAGTGGCTGATGTTGTCCTTGCAAGCTGTGCGTAGTAACTGTTCAACCACCTGATTGAGTCGCTCTATCTGTCCGTCAGTCTGGGGGTGGTACGCTGAAGACATCGCAAGCTTAGTCCCCAACAGTCCTATGAGTTCCCTCTAGAACTTACTAGTGAATTTTGGGTCTCTTTCTGATATGAGTGTAGCGGGGATGCCGTGGATGGTGATGATGCGAGCAGAAGAAGAGGCGAGCAGTTGCTTCAGCTGTAGCCGTGGCATTTGTCGGGATGAAGTGACCAATTTTAGAGAACTTATCGATCACCACGAGTATAGCGTCATGCCCTCGTGAGGTTGAAGGAAGTCCCGTGATGAAGTCGAGGCGAACGACTTGCCATGGCTGCTCCGGTACGGGTAGAGGATGAAGTAACCCTGCTTTTTTCTGCTTGCTGCTCTTCATCCGGTGGCACGTGTTGCATGAGGTGACGAACTGCTGCACGTGTGCTGCCATCCGGGGCCAGTAGTAATACTTCGCTATTCCCGCTAACGTCTTGTTGCTCCCGAAATGTCCCGCGTATGCCACATCATGGAACTCCTCCAATAAGATCTGTCGGAGCGGGGCATAGTTCGGTACCCAAATCTTTCCCGATCCCTTTCTTACAGCTAAGTGTTTCTCCCACTATAACAGCTTCTGGTTCTGTGCTGTAGCGATCTATGCATCCACGGAGTACCCATGTTGGAATAGACCCTTGAGCAGAGGGTTCATCCCGTCGAGCTGGATGCCTGCTACATGTCCAGGGCGGCTCAACGCGTCTGCCTTGTTGTGTAGCCTAGGCTTGTAGACGATGTCGTAGTGGAAGTGGGTCTCCAAGAAGTCCACCCACCGCACCTGTCAACGTGAGAGCGTAGGCTGCGACTTCAGGTACTTGAGGCTGCAGTGGTCAGTGTAGACTGTAGTCTTGGCTCCCTCTAGGTAACACCTCCATGCCTTGAAGGTTGTGACTATCGCTAAGGCTACCTTGTCATGGATAGGGTAGTTCAGTTCTGCTCCGTGTAGCTTCTTACTGAGGTAGGCGATGGGCTGCAAACCGCGTCCGTGATCTTGCATCAGTACTGCTCCGACTGCTTGGTCACTAGCGTCTGCTTCCACCACGTAGTCTTTAACTGGATCCGGTAGGATGAGTACTGGCGCTGTAGTCAGTGCTGTCTGTAGCTGCTCCATGGCTTGCTGTTGAGGAGTATCCCATTTATAGGGCGTATCCTTATTCAGTAGGTTGGTCAGTGGCGCTGCAATCTTAGCATACTGTGGCACAAACCTGTTGTAGTAGTTGGCGAAGCCTAGGAACTGCAGCAACTCCTTCACGTTCTCCGGTACTTTCCACTTCTTGACAGCCTCGATTTTCCGCGGATCCACGTGTACGCCCTCTGCACTCACCATGTGCCTGAGAAACTGCACCTTCTCCAGGGCGAAGTCGCTCTTCGATAGCTTCACGTAGAACTTGTTTTTCCGCAGGATCTCGAAGACTTTCCGCAGATGCTCCACGTGCTCCTTTATGGTTTAGGAGTAGATTAGTATGTCGTCCAGGTACACTACCACGCACTTGTCCAGCAGGGGCCGTAGGATGTGATTCATCTCCGCCTGGAACGTCGCCGGTGCATTGCAGAGTTTGAACGGCATCACTAAGTATTCGTAGGAGTCGTATCTGGTACGGAACACCGTCTTGTGGATCGAGTTGTCCGCCATCTTGATCAGCCAGTAACTCGATCGTAGTTCTAGCTTCGAAAACACCATCGCACCACGCAGTTGGTCTAGAAGATCGTTTGTGCGCGGTATTGGGTATTTGTTCTTGACTCTCTGTTTGTTCAGTGCCCAATAATCGATGCACATTCATAGACTACCGTCCGGTTTTGGAGTGAAGAGAACCGGTGCGCCATAGGGAGAGGTGGATGGGCATATCAGTTGTCTGTCAAGTAGATACTCTATCTGTTTCTTCATGTTTGTCAGTCCAGTCGGACTCAGTCGGTATGGTGCACATGAGACGGGTTTCGCACCTGGTTCCTCCACGATCTCGTGCTCGTGGGTTCGCGCTGGAGGCACTCCTGCAGGTAGGTCGTTTGGCATGATATCCTTATACTACTCCAACACCTTATTTACTGCTGCAGGTAGCTCCGAGTTCGGCTTTTCCTCCTCTGCTGCTGTCATAACCAGTGCTAAGTAACCCGTATTACTCTCGTTCACCGTCCGTTCGAACCGCGCCAGTGTCGTTTCAGGAACATCTCCTCTATCCGTCCAGCTTCGCAGCTCCACACATTTCCCGTTGTTGTAGATACGTGCCTTCCGATTGACCCAGTCTATCTCGGGGTTGAACCGCTTCAGAAAATCACGCCCCAAGATGAAGTCTAATCCCTTGATATTCGTGATCGGCAACGTCGGCTTCCACCTTAACGCTCCTATCTTCAGCTGCAGTGTTGACTCGCCGTGGATGGGAAGCTTCGTACCGTCCACCATCGTTTCTGTGAACTGTGTCTCCTCCGATGATTCTCCGATTTTCTCCAACGTCTCGCGGTCACACACCGAGTGGGACGCACCACTGTTCACCAGTGCCGGGAAGCGTCGCCCGTTGCAGATTACCTCGAGTACTAGTGGCTGCTGCCGCTCCGAGTAGCTGTAGATGGTGTTGCTTACGGGATCATAAGGTAGATCAAATGTATCGTCCCTTGGTCCTGCGCTCGAAGCTGCTGACTCCATATCAGTTTTCAACCTAGCAGGGTTAGAAGGATTTATCCGAGGCTGGAACAGCTTCTCCTGTGCCTGGAACCTTCCCCTAAGCCTTTGCAGCGGTGTGGGCTTTGCCTGTGGGGAACAGGGAGCCTTTGAACAGTGCTGCTGGGAGAGAATATGAACTCCTCGGAACGCTCGACCCTTATCAGCGCTCCGGAGTAGGGTCCCCATATTACCCGGTACCAGTTTAATTTCGGACTCTCCCTTAAAATAGGCTTGAAAACCACGATAAGTAATATTCTTACTTGTCGCTGTCTACGGCTGGATTTTCCCAATCGGTGCAGAGTCTTAATTGGCGGAGTCTCCATTTGTCTCGGCGATTTCCCCTGGAGCCGGCTGATCGTGACGTTTTAAATTCGCGCCACCATATTCTCCTTTTTTTGCCCTCTCCGAAGTTGCTACGTTGTCAGTTTTCTGCTTCGGGGGTGCCACACTGTTCTTGTCCCTCAGCTCCGCACGTACTGTCTTCATTTTCCAACACGCCAAGATACGATGTCCTGTAGCGCCGCAAAACTCGCATGTCGCATTTTTTGCTAGCCGCTGCATCGCATCGCCTTTGTCGTTCTTCATCGGGTCGGCAGTCGTGGGTGATGCCAATCGCTCCATGCCACTATTTGGCTGGTTGCGTCGTGTTCCGTAGTAGCTACTGTCCATCGCGTCAAACTGTTCGATCAGTGCTGCCCGGAACTGCGCCCACGTCCCTTTGCCTTGGACAAATCTATTGCTAATCCACTATATAGCTGGGCCTCGTAAGAGTGTTGCTGCGAGCCGTATGCGGAATGCGTCTTGGTTGAGGGTCGTGCATCCAACGGCTTCGAAGAATTTTTCTAATACAGCTACAAATCGGCGGACATCGCTCCCTTTTGTGCTAGGATCGAACGCCTCTGGTTGCCTCAGCTTCTCTGCTTCGAGGCTAACTGTAGCTGCTGCCGTTGTCGCAGGTACAATTGTCCGTGCTGCCGCCGTCGCTGCTGCTGCTACGGCTACCGATTGGTTCGCTAGGAGTTTTTTTCGAGTCGTAGGAGCGCCGCACGTATCTGCTTATGCTCAGCACGTAACTCCGCGATTTTATCTTTCACGAAATCTCTATTTCCCTCCCTTTTGACAATTTACAGAAAGAAGCGCGACGAAAATAATTGAA